CCCCCAAGGAGTGCCATCGGTATACAGCTGCTTTTTCCTCATTTTTTAAAGAAAAGATCAAAAGGCCATCAACCAGCACAATGATACAAGCACCAGTGAAATTGAGCATGATTCCCCGATTAGGGGATAGGCGATAGCACACAAGCCCTTTACTCTCGCAAAGCTATCTCCATATCAGTGAAGTGACTGATATCATTATATCAGTGTTCCTACCCAAACTACCTTAGGTGAACTTTTGGTCAGCCTATAGCTGGTAGCTGAAAAGGAAACATTGAACAGAGACAGCTTCAAATGACCAACGCTTATTTTGAAACCCCCATCAGTCAATCCTAGTCCAGCCTCTAGGGGATTAATAACTGCTAAAAGGCAAATAAAAGGCGAAAGGTCACCAAGCTGTTCATTGTGCTTACATTTCTATACATTGCTGAATCTAAGCATACCTTCGGCCTGGCTCTTCTAGACGCTAGCAGTTAGAACGCTAAAAAATAAACTTGTGCAACAAATTACAAAGGTTCTCAGGAGCTTAAAAATAGGACTAACCACTTCAAACTTTTGTGAATTCAGCCTTATAACAAACAATGGAATTCCAACCCATGATCCAATTAATACCATAGTTGGATGCTGTATAAAGCCAACTTACCAGGGAGTTTTTCTAGTCCACCAATGCCGAAAGCCTTAGAGGAGGTCCACTGTTGTGAACGAGACCGTGGTTTGAGAGGCGCAAGCTGTGGATTAGGTGGTGGTGGGGGAAGAGGCGGGGGTGTGGGGGTTATAGGGAGAATCACGTGGGGTGGTTTGCGCTCCACGAGGGAGCCTCGACCAGGGACGTAGGATGCGGAAGACATAGGTGTACGGCTCAGTGGTTGAGCAGCGAGTGGAGAGGAGGCAGATGACTGCGACGAAACCCTGGTGGAGGTAGTGGATGCCAGACAAAGCGAATTTCGACGAAGCAGAGGAGTAGACATTAGGACATAGATCGATTCATACCCCAATGCACGCCTAATTTGAAGAAAGTAACAACAAAAAGAGCTGTAAAGTGTCCATTCCTCAAAGACTATTAAAAGAATTGTCAACCGGCAGCTCGTTATGAGAAATATGTAAGGAAGTAAGTAATAAATTTAACTAATGGGCTTAAATAAGTATAAATTACAACAAAATCACCAAAGTATTTAACCGATAGTGCCGAATACTTGATTACACATGTAACAGGAACGAAAAAGCACTATCCAGATCCAATAAAGACTTTAAGCAGCCAAAATATTAATAATGGTTGCAAATCGCTAAGCACTTATCAAGTTAAATCCTATATATTCTGCGACGTTTTAGAGGTGCTACAAAGTGTAAAGTGAAAAAAATTATGAGTGACTAAAACATAAAATTTATTATGTGGGTTTAATGCTAATATAGCTACAAACCGATTTGCATACAAAATCTAACACTGGATGACCTTGATTCGAATTACCAACTGGTGAATGACAAAATGCAACGATCTGCTAAAACATGTGCAATTTTTATAGGCTCCCATGTTTTCTATCAAATCGGTTCGAGTCATAGAATTGAGTTAAAAACTTATTGTCTGCTATAAAATCAATGGCATAGAAATAGAGATGGCAAAATACTGTTCGAGTTCTGTTTTAAATGGCTCGAAGTATCATTGAGAAAACAATCAAAGTCACATAAATTCTAGCCTAGTCAGACAACAAATTTAAAGTTCTTTATAAGTAATGCAATTTCTCTGCATTTCTCCTTCAAGATGGCTGTACAATGTTGCTTATTTTGTAATAGATGGCGAATTCTGTTTGCAAGATTATGTGGAAATGGAAATAGCACAGGTATTTGCATAGCTTTGAGATTCTAATGGTTAATTTGGTG